TTAGTTGTCTTTCCCTTGACCTCACGTACTAGGCGTGACTTAAAGATCCGGATCTTGCTGTGTAGCCTCTCGTCGTATTGCTCAAACTTGAAGACTCCACGACCTACTAGGTCGCTGATCTCTTGGTCATCAGACGCTTCAAAGGGGGCGCCTGAGGTTGTGATCACGCCATCGTTCCGTAGCTTGATAGCTAGCTCAAGATCGTCCTGCTCCTTCTTGGTGATGTACGCGTGCGCCTTCCGCTTGTTCTTTGACCCTGGAGGGCGGCCTCTTCTACGTGGTTGCGCTGCCGGAGGTACTGCTATCGGCTCGTGCGGCTCATTCGGCTCATTCGGCGCGTGTGGCGCATCAGGGTCGCTCCACAGGTGGTCTGGTCTGTAGTATGGCTTAACGACAGTTGATCTGAATGTCGCTGGACCATTAACCATGTCGACAGTGATGTTGTGGCCATCTGTACTGGCGATCTTGTACGGGCCATTCCAGCCATCACTCTCTCTCCATACTAAGACTTCGCTCTGGAGTGGGAGCGCGAGCATGTCTGCAGTGGCTGGTCCATTGCGGGTGTTCAAGGCGTCTGCAACTTGGCGCTCTGCAGTGAGCTTGCGCAGGGCTTTCGTCGCCTTTTGAATAGCCTCGCTGCGTTTGACCATTGATGGTGATGGCGGTGACTCTGCAGTCATTCGTGGGTACGCTCCAAAGACTAGTAACGTCGGGACTAGTCCATCAGGGCCAGCAGTATCGTTAACAGCCTTCACAGCCATCTGGAGAATCGCGTCGTCGGACATAGTGTCAGTGAGTTCTGCATGGAGTATGTCCCATGCCCGGCGTAGAGGGGCATGGTACCTCTCAGTTTTGCCGATAGACCAGTGCGCCTCCGTAGGTACTTGCTTGCATGTGACTCCCATGATCTTTGCTTCTGCGCGGAACTCTGCGCTCGCGAAGTTAGTACCTGCATCATGCGTGATGATGTCGGGTGGTCCCTGGTAGGTGTCGATCCATAGTATCCGCAGTGCTTGCCATGTTTCTTTAGCTGAGATAGCGCTGAGGAACCTCGCGCCTTGAAACGCTGTTGAGGAATCGACCACATGCAGTACAGGTTTGTTGCTTAGGTACATTACGTCCACCAGGATCTCATAGTTGAAGTGGTGATCATCCTTAAGAGTGAATTTGAATCGGCGCGGCGCGGAGCTGTGGAGCTGGCAGTGGTGGCAGAACTTAGTGACTTCTTCTAGGGTTCTTTCTTCGAAGTCGTTATGGCCAGCATCCTTTAAGAGTTTGACTAGTCGCGTAACAGCTGGGTGTCCAAACCGTCGATGGAGCCGTCGCAATTCTGTCTCCGTTAGGAACATAGTTGCTCTCTCTCTCTTGTTTAGATGGAACCAAGGATGTCCCCATTTGCGAATCACCGGGATGTGTACGTCATCCTGAACCAGCTCGTCTGTCGTATTGTTGAAGTATACCTTTAAGCGGTCCATGTCTGCAAGGCATAGCAAGAACGGCGTAGGCGCCTCGAGCACTTCGAAGTTGATTTTTCCGATCTCCGTAGAGACCTGCACGGTGCCAATCGACGCTGTAGCCTCGCCTTTTCCGAATTTAATAGACGCTTTCCCTGCTGTAGATGTGTCTAACTTAACCGTCGGATCTTCTCTCGTAAGTGCGAGGTATTGCTCCTTGCCGACCGTGGATACGTTTGCAGCGCCTGTATCTGGTAGGATTCCTTGGTACACAGATCGTGTGTAGCGGTCCTCAAGCAGGAACTGCGATGCTGGTGCTGACGGCGCGTCTCGGCTGTATATGTCGTCGCCCGAGATATGATGCAAGAACGCCTGGTCTGCAAGGCATTGCTCCTTGAAGAACTGGTGTTCAGAATGTGCTTCCGCGACGTCGTCATCCTCGTCATCCTCGCAGTCTTCCTCCTCTCTCCAGCCTCTCTGATTGTACTGGCTGGTGTGCTCGATCCCTTCGTATTCTGCAAGATGTACGGAGAAGTCCTCAGGGGGCTGTGCACCTGTAAAGTATAGCGTAGAGAAGAACTGCGCACGGGCATCTTTGCGCTCTTTATCTGTGTGGTTGGTAGACCAGCATCCTTCCTTCCGGCAAACAAAGCATTTCTTCCTCCAACGTGGCTTGAATCCTCGTCCGTTGTCGTCGCGCTGCTCGCCTCCTCGGTATGCTCCTCTGGATCCGCCTCTGAATCCTCCTCCACCTCGAGATCCACCTCGGATCCTTCCATTGCCGTTGTATCGGCGGTCTAGGTAGTATTGATCTTCTGTGACCAACTGGGCGGTGTGTTGCCGTGCTAGGTGTGTTTCCACTGCGGATCGTAGATCTGAGAAGAGTCCTTCACAGATTGTGGCTGGCTTGAACAGTGCCATCTCAAGTTCTGGTACTCCTCGGCAGGCATTGATGACCGTAGTGCGGAGGGCATCCTCACCCTCAAAGTTCTTGCCAAGGGCACGCTGGCATAGCTGCAGCTTGTCAAGCAGGATCTGCAGAACCTCGTGTAGTCCCTTATCAGGGTTCTCTGCGCGGGTGCGAGCGAAGGTTGTAGTCGTCCAGTCTGTGTAGTAGTGCTGGTGATGGACGTCATGGTCGAAGTGGTTTTTGATTGCCATGTACGCATCAGCAAAGCTATCATCTCTCTCTACAACCTGTATGTAGAACGTCTCTGCACGCCCGGTAAGGATACGGGGAAACACTGCGTGAAACTGCTCCTCCTGGATATCTACCTGCCAGCAGATGCTGAAGAAGATCTTAATCTTATCGTCTAGGAGATCGTACGCATTCCCTGTATACTTGTTGCTATTGTCCCATAGCTTAGAGAACTGCGTGATCGTATTGGCTTCGAGCCGATCGTTGCGAGACCATCGCGGCGGTAGCGTCTTGTACGGGTCATGTGGTAGGCCAAGGGGTCTGTCAGGTACTCGGTTTGTAGGTTGCTGAGGGAAAGGTGTCACCTCGCGGTATGCGGTCGCTGGGGGTCGTGTCTGTGTCTGCGGGTACCATTGTTGTGGTTGCATAGCCTGCTCCGTTTGTCGAGGCTGTGGTCCTGCATAGGCATTGATCGCGTAGGGCGGTTGTTGTAGCTCTTGATATTGCGGGTGGCTTCGAACGCCTTGTCTCACTCTATACTGCTCGCCCTGTGACGGACGTTGTGGCTGCGGCTGTAGCGGTTCCAGTGGCTGCGTCTGTTGCAGTGGCTGCTGCGCTTGTCTATCTATAGGGGCTGCTAGATGTGCGTTCTGCTGACGCTGGTACGCCTCAGAACGTTCGTCAAACTTCTCGGCCTTGAACTCTGCAGGGTCCCATTCGGGAGCGTTTTCTCCTCCTAGTAAGTTGAAGAGGGAATCAGCTACTCTAGCCCGAAATTTGCCTGTATAGACTCCCCTATACCGGAGCACAGTCTTCAGAGATCTTAGCGTAGTGCGCTCAACCTTCTGGAATAGCTCTCGTGTCCATCCTTCAAAGTCCCATTGGTAGTCGAAGTATAGTCTCTCATCCCATTCCATTCCTACATGGTAGTCGTGGATAGCCTTCGCGACCCAGGTTGTTGCGTGCGTCTCGTCTGCATCCTCTGGTGCGGGTACACCCCAGAGAGATGGGTTGATATAGTCAAACGTGACTGTGTATGGACAGTGTCGCATAAGGTGTTCAGCAGTAAACTTCGCTCCTGGGGATATAGTTTCTGCGCGCTTGCTTGTATTGCGTTCGGATGGATAGTTGAGTAGTTGCTCTTGAACATCAGCGTCTGTATCGCCAGAGTTGCTCTGGCTGCCTGCCATCGTGCCGGTGTATATTGACGCGTTGCCTTGTCTTGTCTAGCTGGTTGGTCGGTTCCAGCGCTTGTGGTTGTACGTGATAGGATCGTCCGGGGACGCTCGTACGGAATCGCTACGCGTTGCTGACGCACTATAGTCGTCCCGAGACTTCTCGCGTCGGGATATCAATAGTCTGTCGCTCTGCGCTGCTGACGTGCTGTAGTCGTCCCAAGACTTCTCGCGTCGGGATTTCAACAGTGTGTCTTTGTGCGTTGCTGACGCGCTGTAATCGAGCTTCGGCCTGGATTAGCAGCTTAGAGGGAGGTTTTGATCGCTATGCGTTATCTCTGCCTCGCTCTGTTCTTAGCACAGAATCTTCTCTCAGGAGTATAACGTCGTGCGTTATGTATGTATGTATGTATGTAATCCATTAACGTCCTTTATCAGTCAGAGACTATGTAGGACGGTGGCAGATGCCATTCTAGCTATTTTTATCTCTCCTTTGACGTTCGTTGGTTGTGTTTTTGACTATTGTGGTTTAGGCATGTCCTAGCTATTACAGGGGAGGAGAGAAAGTAAAACCCTATTATAGCTGCCTGTTTTTCCTTCTCTTCAACCTATCTCTTTTTGCAACGCTTTCCTCGTGTTCCTAAGTCTGAAAAAAACCTCGAGGGGGAAAAAGCCATGGGATCTTGAACGAGGCGTAGGGTTGTAACAAGCTTAGCGTAGTGTTGTAGTCGTAGCAGTACGTGGCTCGGGTGTACTGCGGCTATAAACTGTCGCTAAGTTTTTTGCAGGGGTAGGTGAAAATTTGCGAGTTGGAGTAAGCCGTTCGATATTTTTTTGGTAAAGCCACAAGTGGCGGTGAGAGGAGAAGGATTCGAACCTTCGACCTCTACTACACTGCAAATTTGGAGTGCGGTAGAGGAATACCAGACGCTTTACCACTGCGCCATCCCCCCAACGTCGTGCGTTAGGGAGGCTGTCAAAGATGCGGTCTGTCTCTTCTTCCTTGCTGTCTGTGATCGCCTCAAGCAATCACTGATCAGTGTTGGTTGGCTTTGCACTAAGTGCGTAAAGGGAAATAACGATAACTAGGAATGCATTCTGTTCGGTGGTTCTAATTGATATCTACGAACATAGGTGCTACGAAGGTATACCTAAGCTCTTGCGCAAGGTGGGCCGAAGTCGGGCCGAAGTGTCCAGCAGCCGACGTCTCTACCGATACTCACGATCCGACAGTTCGAATATTTTCTCTAGTATAGGCAGAATGACTGCATCATGCGTCACACTTGTCTCCTTGGTCATGTGCTTGATTGATGTCATCTAGCAACTGCCAAGTGGCTATTTTCGTAGCCTTCTTGACCATTCTACTTGTATGATACCTTTGTATTCCTGAGATGACTGATCACGGATTCAACCGACTCTTCGATAGGGTTTGTCGCTGAGTCCGTACCGTGTGCGGCACAAGTCTTCGTTCTCCGCCGGGACGGTGCGGTCCATGAGCTTAGTTGAGTTTAGCATACGACCGTCGCTTGGAGCTGGTGTAATCCAATGAACACCCACGGGAAGTAGTCGCATTCGCATCACGCCTTGCTCCGAAACGTTGTTAGTGAGTGATATTGGGGTCGGCGCCACCACCCAAAGTAGATGGACTACCGTCAATAGAACTTACATACAATAAGATGCCAGATCTGGAATGGCGCCCGTTGATGTTGTTGGGAGATCTAGGCAACACTATTTTCCAGGCTAAACACTCCTGCCCTAGGAGCCGCTCCGCAACCATGTGACTCTATGGGTTAGCAAACGCGACGATGTTTAGGATCTTTCGTTCTAGAAAGTAGGAACTCAATACGACTGACCCACACAACACATATGCTGCAGAATGGGGGGTTTCCGAGCAACGCGTGAACTCCCATGTCCCGTTTGATGGTGACCTTTGGTTGATCGCAAACGGCAGTCGCGGTCTATTCGGCTTCAAGAACCGATTTCCTACTGTCGGTTAGAGTTGTTCTACAGGCTAAAAGATACTCCTTCTCAGATTCCATATCCATCCGTTCAAAGTATCGTGGGGAGTGGTCACTCCTGGATTAGGTTTATGTTGCCGTGTTTGACCAGCAGAGAAATGGCGTAGTCCTTTCCTCTGGGCATAACAACTTACGCGGAATGGCTCCTTAAAGTCAGGTTCTACTACTTCTAAATATCCAGTTGCAAGATAAGCCTTCTGATACCACGCTATCTAACAGTTTAACCACCTAACATACCCTCCTCAATACACTATCACATACCCATGCCATCTCAGAAAGCACTCCTCTAGAAGATGCCCTTCAAACCAGTTTTCCAGCAACCCTCACCCTATCAAAACCTACCCCGCGTACTCCTTCCCCTCAAACATCCATGTCATTTAGGTAAAAGACACCGGAAATAATTTCAATCTACCAGCTCCTACGTCCTCAATGCCACGCATTCATAATCTAGGTATCTAGCGCAGCCTCCGGGGGCTCGTACGATCCTGATCCGTACGCCCCGGAGGTAAGAGTAATATCTTGCACAACAGCCTTACTCTGATGTAAACTCTCGCGTATCATACAGCTCAACGTCTCACGCTTCCTCCGCGACGACCGCGAGTCCAGCCTCTATGCTCTACAAAACCGGCGAAACAGTGACTGTAGATTGCGATCACTACCCCTATAGCGAGCTCGACGGCCCTGTAAAAGATGGTGCAGACAAAGTAACCGAGCTAGTTCTACAGCTTGCCGAGTACAAAATAATGACCGTGAAATGGTAATGGCGTGTGCTCCGCTTTGAGCAGCCGTGTTATTTACCCGACCCACAGGCAGACGTTGACGACCCAGCACGACACTACGCTCATTTCTTTGTTTGGAGAGATACACTAGCGCAGGCGTTATTCCCCTATCCTGTTCTCTTCAGATCCGTCAAGCTAGCTATTAATCACGAAGATGAAACAATTGATTTAAGGGTTACAAGACAGATAGGAGGAACACTGGAGAAGTGTTTTTAAGATACGACGGAAGCGGGACTGATATCTAATTTGTGGAGTTTCAAGGCAAGCCGCAGTAGAGAGGAGATGGATATACTATGTGCTGTCAGGAAGACGTATACTTTGAGGAAGAGCAAGGGGCCAGAGGAGAGTGTTAACTTTAAAGCTACATGAGAGGAGATGTGTGGTTTTCAGAAATGAAGCAGTAATGGTTAAAAGACTAGAATAAGACTTGATACCGCGTATAGGAGCATAAAAGCTACTCAACGCTCATCTCTTCTTACCTTTTGCACCCATGTACAACCGAACTTCATGCCCAAAACTTCACAGATTTCGAAACCTGGAACATCGATAAACGGCAATGTGTAGAAAGGGATGTGGTCTGCGGTCTTGAATTCTTGAGTTATTGGGTGGACAGAAAAAGGATGAACTACAGTAGTGTTAGCTCGCTGCAAAAACAAGCTCACTTAATTTGCATGTCATATTAGCACAGTTCACAGCAGCACAGTGAATGAGAACGACAATACCTCCCCAACGATAGACAGTAACGTACATGTAGTATCCCAAGAAAGCCATGAAAGCCATACAACCCTAACGGCAACACTACAACAAATGTATCACTAGAGCTGGAGCAACAATTACCATACTTCATAATCTTCAATGAATCTCATTAGATCTCATATGGCGTGTTATCTTGGCGCGAAAATGTACCGCCTTTTTAGCTTCCAGCCTTACATCGCCGCAATGACTAGTTATACAAATACAAGTGGGGAAAAAGCAAGCCGGTCCAGCAAACCCAACGCAAAGCCCATAGGGCAGAGACTGTATGAAATAGATGAACGCCCAAAAAACCGCAATACCCAGAACGCTGGACAAATCACGAGGCTGAAATCCACGCATGACGCCATTAAATATGTGAAGTCTAGCAGGCTAGACGGGAAGCTGACGTATCCGGCCTTGCAACTAAGCGGCAGGCTGGGCGCTAAATTCGGCACCGCCGCGACCCCTAGGAGCTCCGCGGCCGCGATACCCAAAGCCTCGACCGCCGCGGCCACCACGACCACGTCCGCGTCCTCGACCTCGGTAACCATCAACGCTACCTTGGCCAAAAGTCTCCATGTTCTTCTGGCGTTCCTGGCTGCGAAACTCCTGACCACGCATGGCCGCTTCTTCCCTGTCCTTGAGCTCGCTCGAGATGTTGTCAAAGAAAGAGCTCTTGTCGTACATGGATCCACCTGGAATGACAACTTCTTCCTTCTCACTCGATGGAGCCTCAACTGCGGGGGCTGTTGAAGCGTCACCGAGCGGCGATCCAGAGGCAATGGCTTCCTTGATGAGATCTTGCTTGTTGAATTTTGCGTTTGAAGATGCAAAGTCAAAGTCGGTCGTCGGTACCTCCATCTTGGGATGTTGAGGATGAGCACCTCCTCGACCTCCCCTTCCGCCCCTACCACCACGGAAGTCACCAGAACCTCGCTGACGAGGCTGATGTTGACGGCTCTGCTGATCGCGCATACCTTCCACCTTCTGAGCCAAGTTGTTCATGGGGTCAGAAACTGGTGCTTGGGCTTGCGGTTGGCCACCTTGGCCCTTGTTCTGAAGGTTGAGCTTAGCCATGGCTTCAGCGACGGCAGCAGTCGCTAATTGGGTAGCGTTCTGTTGTTGAGCTGCGGTAGGCATTTGTGCGGGAGCAGTGGACTGCTGTCCATGAGGCGCCGTCTTCGTGGCCCGTGGGCTGGGAATAGGCACGGCTGGGATGATCCGACCACTCTTGGGTCCGCTAGGTGCACCCTTGGAAGCAGCAGCTTGTTGAGCCACTTGAGGATGGGGTGGTGCTAACGCAGCCGACACATCAGGTTTTGAGTCGACTGGGGGCGGAGGGGGCTGTTTTGCTGCTGCATTTGGTGTTGGGGCTGCCTTTGCACCGTTCTTGGGTTGTGGTTTGGCTGCTGCACCATCTGCCTCTGCGACCTTTGGTTGCTGAACTTGACCAGGCTTCTCATCTTTACCTGCTTGTGGACCCGAGGGACCTCGTGGGCCCTGCGGTGGTTGATTCTGGTTCAAGCCAGGAGGGCCAATCGGCATGTTCGGTGAGAATGGCCCCGGAGGCTGGTGGAAGCCTTGGCCTGGGGGAAACCAGCCGGGAGGCGCGCCAAAAGGCGGCATGCCATATGCACCCGGGGGGCCTCCAGGGCCTGGGAAAGGACCGGGACCACCAGGGAACCCGCCCTGGGGACCGAAACGGTTGCCATATGGACCACCAGGGCCACCAGGGCCGCCGAAGGGAGGAGGATAACCACCCGGGGGGAACTGGCCGGGTTGAGGATAATTGGGCGGCGGTTGTTGGCGGCCGGTAATATCTTGCGGACTGCCATCTTGCCGCGACTGGGACTGTTGTACCTGTGGCGCATGCTTCGTATCAGCTTTGGGCTTCGTACAAATGGAGGAAGAAGCAGCTTGTATAAAAGGGACTCAGAAGGAAGGCAACGGAAGATATCCACACGGTTTTGCGCTCTCGGTGGTTTAAATGATTTACATCCGAAAATTTTACATCATCGAAAGGGAAGGGGATAAGGGCAAGTATAGACTTACTCCGATGATAGCTGGGTCCTGGGGCATGGCGGGCTGCGCCTTTTCTTTGACGGGCTCTTCAATGCGCAGATCCTTTACGTCGCTGCCTCGAAAGACAATCTGCTCGTACACGACGTCTGATGGCGGGTATTCGTCCTTGCCACCCTTGCGCCCCTCGGTGCCGAATGAGCGCACATTGTCTAATGAGACTGTGGAGGCTTCTGAGTTGATTTCGACAAGCGTACCGACATAGCTATTACGAGTCAATTGCTGCTATCTTACAGCATTGACGTGGTACTGACCGGATGTCGCTCTTGGAGATGAGCGAAATGCGGGATCTACGCGTCAGACGTCAGCGACCGGAGCTCCAAAGCAATTTGCCAGGCGGCCACTTACCCGATGAACTCGGACATGATTGTGTAAGGTGGGTATCAAAACGGGTATCAAAGGAATTGAAGCTCAATGGAAAAGGAAAAAGGGTGCAACAAGGTTGGGAAAGTCGTAAAGAGTTGATGGGGGAGGAAGGAGGGCTAGAGGAGGGAAGGAGGTCGTGGGCTGAAGCTGCGAGAAACTTGGCGCACGTTTTAGCGAGGCGTAGGCTGAGCTTGAGCCAGGAGCTGCCTTTACCCCACACTTGCGCTTGACTTCATGTACGGTGCTTCGGTACGACCACTTACTTGCCTTTGCCGCGGACATTACTTAGGAGCCGTTTCTATGCCTTGTTATACCCGGTGAACAGGCGCCTTCTCAGACCCTGGAGGTCGCAAAGTGTCCCTGCCTTAGCTGTCTAAGCACGTGGTGAAGCCCGTGGAACTGCTCGCCATGAGTGTCGCTGAGGATGGACTGAGTGATTTGTACGAGGCCTTGGAGCGCTACAACTGGGACGATGATATCGAGTTCCAGGCCGGGCTGCAGGCGATCATTGGAAGCAACAGTACGCCAGAGCAGACTACCGAGCTAGCATTGCGCGCGAGATGTTTCTACTATGCAAGGTACGAAAGAACCCACATCATATAATGTGCCAGTTCTATAGCTTACATGTCCAGGAAATACAACAAGACAATAGACTTTGACGCCTACAAAGCCTATCGCTCTGCTCGTAATCGCCCACCGCCTACTCCCCCAAGCTCCACCAACGTCCTTGCCTCCTCCATCGTCGACGATGTGATTCCCGATCCTGCATCCGCCGCTACTACTGCCCCTGCTTCTGCACCAGTGCCGGAACCAAGCGGCATCATGCCATCGCCCACCAGTCCAAGCGAACCCCCAGCGCCGTACCCGACCTCTTTTGCGCATATTGTCGAATTGATCACGAGCGGGAAGCCAGTGCCGGGTATCAAAGAGATTCCGCCGACGGTACTGGAGGGACAGGGGACGGCAGCTAGTAAACCGAAGAGGAAGAAGCCGTGGGAGAAGGATGGGGCGTGATGTGTACACGAGAGAGAAAGAGAGGGGAGGGCAGGGCTTTTGTAAATAAGAACATGGCGTATGGCGCAGTAGCGATTCGGGGACACAGCTAGATATACAAAATCAAGAAATTACCCAATTTCGAAGACTAACATGCGAGAAGTGTTCGTTCCGGATACATGTACAAAATTGCGATTAAAAAAGGAGCTATATACGGGAATCTCGTTAACACACATGCATACGAAAGCGAAGAAGATCCCAACCCAGAAGCAAACAAGATAGCAAACAAGGCAACAACAGGGGTATATAGCAGATTCCCATCCCATCCCACACCAATGCCCCGACCCACCCGACCCAGCTCACACCCAGCTAACCCACGTAATGAAACCCAGAATACGCCAAAACATAACCAATAATATCCTACAAAACAGCCTCCAGGACTCTATCCTTGAGACTCTTCACCTCCTCTTTCATCTCCCATATCTTGCGTTGAGCTTCCAAATATTTACTTTTCCAGTGTTCATCATTCGTTTCGTTTCTTGCCCCCTCTGTGTCTTTTGAGCCTCTGCCGCGGTCTCGGCTTTCAGCATCGGCTTCAGACTCATTTGAAGCCTCTAGGCCTTTTGCGATCCACTCTCCACTTAGCCCGCCGAATGATACGGCAAAAAGGACATCAAACGTTTCCTTAATACGCCCGCTGCCTTGGGCATCATTGCTCGTTTCGGCTTCTTCATCCTCATCGTCAATCGGAGACTCGTAGCCGTCACCGCCGACGCGAAAACGTATGCAATCTACTCTTCTTACGCCACCAGTGGGCCCGCCAAGACCGAAGCCGACTGTAGATGTGAGACCAAGACAGCTACTGATTGCTATGCTGAGAGCTTGATCAGACATGACCTTTGCTGCCGGTGAGGGACCGGAGCTAGGTTTAGCGTAGAGTGGTTGTAGTATTGCAGATGCGAGGGTTTTCGCTTCGTTGCCTCGTAAGCGCTTCCGTCGCCCACCAAGCGGGGCGCGTATGAGTTCGGCGGCTAATGCGCGGTTCAACGTCTCCAATGGAATTGATGGTATTGGGGACATTGCTGAAAGATCTAGTTCAGTCTGTGACCGTGTTGGTGGCGGAGGGCGTGGTTGGGCCGGCGTCTCGGATGGTGTGAGTGCACCATGGTATGTTTGATGCGTCGGCCTGCCTTGCTTTTCGTACATACTCTGTTGGTCGTACGTATGTGCAGGCGTTACTTGCGCTGAAGCAGCGCTTATTGGGGAGGGTCCCAGGCCAGTACCTGGCGACTGATTCTCCTCCCCATTGACAAGCACAGTTGGAGTGACTAAACGCACTACTGGGTTGCCAACATTAGGTGGAACTTGAAGACTCAATCGCTGCTTCTGCGGCATACCACCCGGCAGCGGACCTTCCATCTTAGATGGTGAAATGGCAGAGGCTGGTGTGGGTGGGAAACGAAACGAGTTCTCGGGCGCTGGAGGGTCCGAGTGCGCCCGTTCAACAATTGGCGTCAGATTGCCTGGATTCCGGTCGATGGGTGGTTCTTCTTTCGTCTTGGGGTTCGCCGGGAACGTCACATAAGGTCCATCTCGAATCGAGCGATTGCTGGGAGGACGGCCACGCAACTTGCCAGTCGATGAGCTGTTATTGGTCGACCATGCTGACGACACAGCGGGACCGTGTCGCCGACGGGATCGTGACCTGGAGCTGGAAGGCGTGACAGCGGATTGTGGCTCATCGAAGAATGGATAGGCTGATTGTGGTGTTACAGCGGAGAGTGGATGGGGCGTCTGAGGATTCTCTGTGTTTAGCCGCCAACGTATCTGCTGACCCGACATGGGCGATGCTGAGTATGGCGTCAGATTACTGTGGCCTAGACGGCTCGGCGCCGAAGCTGCAGTCAAGGCGGAAGACGGGGTGACTGCTGACACTGATGTCCACGGATCTTGTGTCAAGAATCCCCCATGCATGTTGTTGGGATGGGCGCTGGTAGGATAGGCTGATTGAGGCTGTAGCACATTACCGAATGGTATTGACGTGTCTAGCTGAGGCCGCTTGCGAGCTGGCGTGCCTTCGTCGAAATCAATGTCATCCTCTCCATCGTCAGCTTTCCGGCGTCCGCGTTTCGGTTTGAACTTGGGATCGAGAGCCCGGATGGCCAAGTCTTCCTCTAGGATTACACCATCACGCCCTTGAGGTGGAAAGGGGTCATGTGGTGGTGGTATCTGCAGGCAGTAGGGGTGCTGCTTGCCCATCAGATACTCGAAAAAGGCGTCAATGTGCATTGCGCGCATCCATCGCTGCACATGGTTAGCAAGTCTTGGTCATCGTACAGAGTGTAATCGTATAAAGTATAACGGGAAAGGCTTTGGGGGTTGGAAGCCAGAGACGAACATGTTGCGACATTTAAGTTGTGCGCACTGCCCCTTTGACTTGCAGCGACAGTAAGCTGGGCCGAACAAGGCCGCATCATGAAGAAGTACAGCCCATACAACAACATGTTACACATGCGAGTGGCTTGATTCGCACATTGGGCAGGGACCGGTTGGGTGGCCCCGACCACCATGGGGCGTTGGAGGCTGATGGCAACCGCGCCGCACGACCCGGATGACATGCATAAACACACTGTTGGGTAAAAAGTTCCCGAACACGAAACTTGCCGAAGCTATGCATTTGTAGGAAAATAGAGGCGACGTTGTGCCGGTAAGAAAGATGTGAAAGACACAAGTAAATTGAAGCGTCCTTACCTTGAGTCTGACTGAGTACTGCTGCACCTTTTGCGTGCTCTGTCCCTCGTCGGTGTTTGGCGGCTTTACACCCAAATCCAAAGCCAACTGCGTCCATGTCTTGATCTCCTTGGCTTCGAATTTGCGGATCAGTTCGAAGAGAGTCCAAGTGCTGAAGGCGTTGCCGTCGCTCTTGGGCGGGGTGCGGAACAGCTTCACCAGCTCGCTCGTGTCGATGGTGGTGGGGAAGTTGGGGTTGCAGTACAGTATGAAGGCGGCGTAGGCGTCGTCGATGGTCTCGTCGGACACGTCGCGCGCGGGCGGGTTGCGGTCCGAGGGCTCATAGTGCGATGCCACCTGGCGCGGCTGGCTGGTTGGTGATATGGCGGAGAAGCGCGGCGATGCGTTCGCAGAGGCTGGGGGAGTTTGGGAGCTGCGCATGTCGCCATACAAGCCGTGCGAGAAGTGGCCGGCATTGTCAGGCTGAAGTAGGTGGTTTGACTGGGCCTGATGGGGGACGGCCGACATGGGCGTGTGCACATTGCGGCTGGCACCTGTGCTCTGATGAAGTGCCGGATCAATTGCTGGTACTCCTCCTCCTCCGCCTCCTCCTCCACCTCCATCTCCACCACCACCACTACCTGGATGCCGAAAGGGCAGGTAGGGCGGCCCACTGCCAGGCCCAGGATGCTCGTAGTGGCTACGTGGATGGGCGTGTTGGTGAGGGTTGGCTGTCAGGTGCAGGTTGTGCTCCGACTCTCCTTGGTCGCCAAAGTCGACCTGCATGGTTCTCCACGATGCGACGCTTTTTTGCTGCGTTTGCGGCCCGTCAACATGCCATGGGGGCGTGACGATGAATCGCGACCGCGCTAATGCCAATAACCGGCCATGGGATACAGGTCGTGGAGTGTGCGCGCCTGCCTGTCCAGCTATCCAAGGGCGCAAGAGAGCGAGAAGGAGCGAGGCAGCGACTGCTGTCGCAACGGGGGCCTGCGAGTCCAGCGCGAAGGGGTCCAACGATAGGATGCGATGCGCCCAGCGCCGTCGCTATATTATTCCTTGCGGTTGCAAACGACGACGTTTTCCTGTACAGCGCGCTACGAGGTCGCGTCGTTGTTCCAAGGTCCAAGGTCCGGCGGATGATGGTAATTTGGGGTCCTTCAGGTTCTTTGGGCGGGTCGTGCCTGCCTACTTCGGGGACATTTTGGTCACTTATGGCAGCTGAGCGCATACCCCAGCATCGTCGCTTCTATTTTTGGAATCGTCCGAACGCACCTCGTCCCTCACCACACCCCATGTCGCTGCACTATCGTCACGCCTATTAGCTCTCTCGAGCCATTTGACTGGCTGCCTATTTACATACGCTCATCATGAACATGCGACAACTTCTCGCCGAGTGGCTGCTGACCAAGCCCCAAACGGTCTAGCGCCGACTCGACATGGCCATTGGTATATTGCCACTACAGCGACCCTCGCAGCCCCAAAAGGGCCCCCAGTTGTCTCTAACCACACATCTGGTCAAGACGACCCAGCTGCACGTGATGATAGGAATTGCGGGACAGAGCCGAAGACGGCGAAGACAAAGCGCTATTGTAACTGAAAGACGTCTTGGCATAATGATGGATCAATTCCCTGGATGCTTTGTACGCACAGCAACAATAAGAACTGGAGCCATATGAACCAGCCAGCACCCAAGGATATGTCATGTACCCAAGAAACCCCCAAATTACCTTCAGCAAACTATGTCTACATCACCCACCACCCGTTACCTCTCCGTGGCAGGCGGAATCATTCCTTCGCCAGCTACGCTACCCTCAGAGATGTGGGCGTTGATTTGCGGATTTTTAAGTTTTTCAGACGCCGTTTCTTTCACCCAATGCTGATTGCCAGATTCACTCAAACCGTGACCGAGGGAACGTATGCCTCGCCAATAGCTTCTACCACGATCATATGGCGTCAACCCTCTACAAGTCCATCTCTCCAGACTTCCAGCGTGTATCTGCTCAATCTCTAGTGGAATTTTTTAACCCGTACGGCAACATCCTCAAGCACGTAAGAAATTACTCTCTACGAGGACGATTTTGTCACTGTAAACCGCGGATTACTCCTGAGATTCTTACTCAGCTTACCGGACGACCAACTCAAAAGCTTCAGTTACAGTTCCGACACGCCGATGATGTTTGACGGGTTTCGCACATTGTTTCAGAAGCAGCGTAAAATCGAGACTCTTAGGGTTCCGGTCTTTCAGAGTAAAGATGATATTCCGTTGTCAAGCACACCTTGGGTCGGAGAGCGTCTCAGAAAGCTCAAATCACTCGAAATCAATGTGCGGGATGGGTCGGTCGACAACGATCTGAATGGCTATAGATATATTGTGGCCAATGCTTCCAAGCTGAAAAGCCTACAAATTCGGGCACATGCCCGTTTGAGACTAAATTCTAGGAATCTTCCAAACGTCATCGTAAATGACTTGTCACTCTCCACCCCCAATACCGAAATTCTTACCAAACTTGAACATCTCTCGCTAAGTTTTCTGAATTTTCCGGAAACCAAGAAACTGCTCTCTGAGATTAACTTTCTGAACCTAAAATTGCTAAGATTAAACCACTGCACCAAATGGTCTATTTCTTCCGGACGCTACAATCAGTCTTCCTGGTACCAAACGCACAGGGGTCAGTGACAGAGCAGGCTAAAAAGATAGAGGTCGAACAACGCACTCCGAAGCTCGAGATACTGGAGATTGAGCGTACAGATTACGAGAGTTCGCAGATAGGGGCAGAAGACGCACTGGTCAAGTTGAAAAGTGTGAACAGGTTTCTAAGTTCTTTTAAGGGCCTGAAAGAGCTCTACATTGTCTATCACCATGACTTAGCATTCGGAGATGATGGAGGGGACCGCGAGGCAGCCGGAATAAGAGCACATGCCTCTACGCTAGAGATTTTGTGTGCTGGCTCATCACGGGAAATTCACTACGTCGATAATCCGACTCTCACTCAAATTCTTCATGACTGTACGAATCTGAAGCAACTGGGTCTGACACTCTTTAGTGATCATAAGACTTTCGACCTCCACCATGACCGTAAGCTAGAGGACCTTTCTGGTCACTCGCACCTCATATCCGCCCGCGACGGTACACACCGACTGGTAAGCGATCAACCGATTTCTCTACAATCAACACATAAGCATCCGAAACTATATCTACTAACAACATGATAGAGAATAATCGCACGACATCCAAATATCCAAACACTTCGCATACTCGACAACATAAGGATGTTCCATCATGACGATGTCAGTAACTATGCATCATACCAAGTAACAGCGCAGCAAATGGCTCGCGCTGCGAATGCCTGGACAAAAGACTGGGCCCAAAACATAATCCAATATCTTAAAAAACATGGCTCCAATATCAGAGTCTTGGCAGTGTACCGATATCGCATCTGGGGCGGCTATTATACAGGAGTTGAGGACTTGGTAATTGACAACGATGGTCAACTCTTTCCACGCTATACATACGATGTCAAGGTCAATTACGATCATTGTCCTGATCTAATATTGCAGCCGGGGCAGCCGCAACGGCAGCTGTGGTATTTTCCTGTGCCGATTAGATAAGTGAAGAGAGATAGGTCAGAGCAGGAGATTTTGTTTCATCAGTACGAGAAGTGGCCGATGTTGAAATGGGATGACTGTAGCACTATCTTTCCTGAATATTCGTAGGAAGTGGGGACAGGGTTGGATGTGTTATGTTTCTGTATCGAGCGCGAATGACACTGCTGACAGCACTGTATAGTTTATAGTTGTTGGTAGGGCTTTGCACTGAGTGCGAAAAGGAAATAACGTAACTAGGAATGCATTCTGTTCGGTGATTGTTCTGATTGACTTGCGAAGGAGAACTATGGAAGAGCTAGATATAGGAGGTCTGGTCTGAGCGCTGCTCGGACGCCGCGATCCGTGCGCCTGTCCGCGTGACTGATATCAGTGCGCCTGCTCGCGTGACTGATATCAGTGCGCCTGCTCGCGTGACCGAGATCAGTGCGGCCGATCGCGTGGCTGAGATATCGTTGATATCTGTGATCCGACAGTAGTGGTATTATATCTTCTGGTATTCTAGTTTTTGGTTGTACATATATCGTAGTAACACAGTTTTTTACAAATAGTAGTGCTCACCGTCGTCGATATCAGGAAAGATAAACGAAGAGAATCGAATCATAGTAATCTGGAGTAATGATAGATAGAAATAGTTCAATCAATATAAACATAGACTAACCTAAGATAAAACTACTAAGAGGGGTATATCCATCACTGTCCACGAGAAACAATAACCAACAAAATACGGCCGTCAAGTCATAACCGGACCCGCTCAAAAAATAACGACAACAACAAAATCCATCACAACTTCTCCGCATCTTCCCTCTCCTCCTTCTCCCTCTCCCTGCTCTCCCTCCTCCCCCTCCAAACTGGTCCCATCTTAATCTCCAACAACATAAGCGGCAACAACAAACAGCAAACACCACCCCAAAACGTATACGTCCAGCCCTCGCCCCAATCCGCTGTCATGCGTTCAATAACTGCGACGAGCACAGCTGCAAGACTACATCTCACAAGATTCGTACACGCGGTAGCCCCTGAGCTCCTCGACTGCAAAATATCAATATTAAGCGTCATAGTCGTGTTCAATATCCCGATACTCGTCCATCCCAGCAGCACACCCAGGATAAGCGGGACGGCGATGTGCGCTTTCGCTTGTATGGCCCAGCCCCACGCGACGACGCAGACGATGAAGAGGGAGAGATAAAACGGCATGATGCGTAGTCTCGCATGTTCGATGGTGAATTTGTCGCCACACCGCGCTTTGATGGTGGAATATTGCCAATCCAGCATTTTACCCGTGAGCGTGGATCCGATGATCATGCCTGCCCCCACGGGTAGATAACACAATCCCAGCACCGTCTCATTAAGATCTGGGTAGATTTTCGCAAACGACGAGGATATCGTGGCGGTGATTGTGTAGTTTACGGCGTATACGATTCCAGTGAAGGATAAAAGGACAATGACGTCAGGGTAGGTAAAAAGAACAAAGGGGTTTACGCTTTGTTTCTTTCCGGACCGGGTGCTGCTGGGATCCAGGGCTTGGGAAGGGCATTTTTGGCCGACGACAGGGAAGACGGCGCGTTGGATGCGGGGGACAGGGAGGGAGCCGTTTCCAGCGATTGAGCGCAGCGTTTCGGGGAGGAAGAAGAGGATGCAGAGGAGGCAGAAGGATACCATTATTACAATAGACCAGAAGATTGAGCGCCAGCCTAGACCTTGGGATAGGGCGCCGCCGATGGCGGGTGCGATGCAGGGGGCTAGCATGGGACCTAGGTTGAACATTCCAAAGTAGCCGCCGCGCTCTCTGCTTGTGGAGATGTCGCCAATGACACCTGCGCCGAGGGCAATGGTGGATGCGCTGCCGCCGGACTGGAAGCAGCGTAGGAATAGGAGCAGCCAGAATTCCGAAGTGGGACATAGGGCGAGACCGATGCTAGAGGCGATGAGGATGGAGAGACAGACGAGGTAGACGAGACGGCGGCCGTAGCGGTCGCTGATGGGGCCCCATAGCATAGGGCTGATGCCTTGGAAGACCAGGTACACGGTTACCGTTTGGTTGATGTCGTCGAGGGACTTATGGAAGGCGCGTGCGAGGGTGGGGATGGCGGGGAAGTAAATGTTTGCTGGAAGTGGACTGGGATATCTTGATGAGTATGGTGTTGAAAGTTGAAGTCGTTGATTGTGTTTACCTGTAGAACCCAGCTAGAGCTACCATGGCGACAATTAACCATTTCTCTTTACTGGTGTATATGCTGTATGGGATTTCGACTTGGCCCTCGACGGGTAGTGTCTCTGGAGCTACGACAGCCTCGCCCGGAGCACACTCTTGCTTTTCATCTGTACTTGATTCCACCATTTTGATTACGATTCCAATCCAAGCTCTTTAAACCAAGAACAAAGAGGAATATTCAAAACACAAAACAGTCCGATATAAAGTGAGAGGAAAAGAGAAAGGGGAACAAGACAGCCTCACACAAGAAGAAGAGATGCCCACGCAACAACCGCTCATGATAAACCTAACCCGCCATTCGCACACCCCATGCCGACCACCCACGCTACAAACCTCGCCTTCGGAGCATCAAGCACCGCGCGCTGAATGGCTGACTTTGGGCGAAACATGGCCGTTGTCCCTCCTCCTCTTGCAAGACGGTGACCGGTAGACCGGCGAGATATCGGCAAACAGCCGTCTATAATCAGGCCATGGTGCAGCGACACAGCGCCTCTTTTGCGTGCATGCAGCCGGCACCACGCATACACTACGCATCCCCCTTTGCACATGCCCACATTCCTCATGCTGGAGCCAGTGGACGAGGCGGCGGTGGCCAGCTGTAGCTGCATGGCTGCAGGGAGCCTAGGCACACACGGTTAAAACACGCGGTTCAAGTGTCGGTTGTTAGTTAGGTTAGCAAAGAGAAGGATTGCGGGATCGTCGGTGTGGGCTGGGGCGGGCGGTGGTAAGTACGTATGATTTTCATCACTTGTAGTCACTTTACGGCGCCTCGGTTTGCCGACGGGAGCGAGCCGCGAAAAGCCCAGAGTCGCCTCTTCCAGAGCCGCGCCTGAGGCATTCCAGGGAAGAAATTTCGCTTCAAAGCCGCGGTTACGGGCGCAGGCGAAAAAAACTCAACATCGACACATGTTCGCTACCGTTAAGAGTCATAACTACACGATGCAAAGTGGAGCAAATGATTCAGGTATATAGGTAGATACGGCCCGGTCAACAACTTGCACAACGGGCGCTCGCTCAAGAAAGAAACGTTTGCCGAGAGGACCTTGATTGACAAGACAGATAATCACGAGACCTTTTTTGCTTGTCTAGCTTTTTTTTAAGTTCTGGACGCATAGGAAGTGGGTCGATTTATTTTTTGACTTTTCCAACGGCGCTGGAACCGGATTTCTGGGAATTGGACATCGTTGCCCGAACCTTTGTGCACGCGGGATCTCGGGGTAGAAGCGGCGAATCTCGACCACAACCCAGGCAAAGGGAAAAGAGCAACGGGCAACATGGCGAGTTTGGTGCCTGATATTGGAAGCAGCAACATCAGTAGGGCTCCATCGTCGGACGATATTAAACGGCCGAAGCTTAGGATGCGGGAAATGGATGAACATGTCACCGAGGGCAAGCAAGACAGTGTTGGGGGGTGGAGGGGTGTATTGAGCTTTCTGGAAAAGAAAGGTGATGTTGAGGTCAGAGGGTGCACACCGGTGCCGTATGAGGATAGGACGGAAACGAGCTACTCCAAGATCTTCACCCTTTGGTTCTGCATGAGCTGTAATCCCTTACCGTAAGTGGTCAGGTGTTGCGTGCCGAGCTGGCGATGATTATACACCATGAGCTAAATACAGCACTGCAGAGTAACGTTTGGTATGGTGGGGACGATGTCGTTTGCCCTCAGTCTTCGCGATGCCGCTCTCGTCATCCTCTTCTTCACTCTCGTCTCAACTGTGCCGGTGGCGTACATGTGCACATGGGGCCCCAAGACGGGTATGCGTCAGCTTGTTCAGGCTCGCTTCTCGTTTGGCAGGTACTTTGTGTCGCTGCTGATATTGCTGAATCTCGCTACTTTGACGGGCTTTTGCGTCGTGGATAGTGTTATAGGTGGCATGGCTCTGTCTGCAGTGCAAGATGGGACAACTATCAACGCGACTGTGGGCATTGTCATCATTGCAGTCTTGTCGCTGTTCATCTCATTTTGTGGCTTCCGGGTCCTGCACGTCTATGAGCGATGGGCATGGATACCTGCACTCGTGGCCCTCGTCATCGCTGCAGGCTGCGGAGGAAAAAGTCTCACTCATCAAGTCGCAGCTCCAGCCGCCACAGCATCGCAGGTTCTCTCGTTCGGCGGTCTGGTAGCCAGCTTCATGCTGCCATGGGCTGCACTGGCGAGCGACTTTTCCACCTACATGCATCCCAAGGCACCCATCCTTCGCATCGCACTCTACACGTACACGGGCCTCGCGCTCCCCACGATCCTCCTAATGATACTGGGGGCGGCCATGGGCGGCGCAACGCCCAACATGGCATCGTGGCAGGCGGGCTACGACGTCAATGCTGCGAGCGGAGTGCTAGCAGCCATGCTGCATCCGGCCGGAGGCTTTGGACGCTTCGTCACAGTCGTGCTGGCATTCAGCATGCTGGGAAACTTGTCGGCAACCATGTACAGCGTCACGCTCAATCTACAGATGCTGGTGCCCTGGCTCTTCCGCGTCCCACGTGTCGTATTCAGCATCGTTATTACCGGCATCGTCATTGGCGTCGCCGTCGAAGCATCCAAGTCCTTCTTCCTTAACCTCGAAAACTTCATCGGCGTCATCGGATACTGGAGCGCCGCCTTCATCGGCATCGCCATCACGGAGCACTTGGTTTTCCGACACAGCAGCTTCATAGCCTATACCAAGGATGAAGACGCGTGGGATGATGCGACCAAGCTCGCTCCTGGCGTGGCGGCTATTGGCGCGTTTATGCTCTCTTTTGGCCTCATCATTCCTTGTATAGCACAGGTCTGGTGGACGGGACCCGTCGCGGAAACTACGGGTGACATCGGACTCGAGGTGGCCGTCGTGCTGTCGGCGGCGCTATATGTACCGTTTAGGAAGTTGGAGAGAAGGACATGTGGGCGATGAGCAGGTGCAGTACCACATGTGCCGATTGTAAGCGTAGGCTGTCGAACAATTACAAACATAGTATTTCCACAATCGCCAAAGAGTTACATGTGCAGTGACATTGACTTGCACATGTCGATGTGTGGTGTGTTTGAGCATTACCACATCCGACCTAGGCGCGGGAAAGTCTTGCCTCGGTTGTACCACCTACCCCGGGAAATGCCTGGTGACGTTCACAGGCCAGGCCGGAGCCGCAGGTTAAATGCGGAGAGAAGTGCAAATGCCCAGGACCAGCGACGACAACGGCTTCAACCACACTTTTCTTTTGATGCCTGCCCCTCCGCTGTCATCATCCATTCCTTGACACCATCGCCTATACGGTTGCTCCTGCCTCGCATCGTGCCGCATCCCCGCCTGCCGCCTTCCCCTCTTTGCGACTCTAAACCTACACCATGTCTACACAGGAGAAGCTTGCCGAGTCGACATCATCATCGGTGCCTCAGAGCACGACGGCGCAGCAGAGCGACAATGTTGCGCATGCGCTTGCTGGCGCGGGTGGAGGCCTGCTGTCCATGGCCCTGACGTATGCGCCTTTCAAAGCAGTGCAGCACCACTCTGCGATATGCTAACAGCACGCCCAGCTACCCACTCATCACCCTCTCGACCCGCGCGCAAGTCGAATCCAAGCGAGCACAGTCTTCCACGCTCAATGCCGCCCGCCGCATCATCAAGCGCGAAGGCGTCGCAGGACTCTACGCCGGCCTCGACTCCGCCCTCTTCGGCATCAGCGTAACAAATTTCGTATACTACTATTGTACACACCGCCCTGCCCCCCACAAAGAAAAAAAACATACTGATAACCGTACCAAGGGTACGAATGGACGCGCTCCTTCTTCGAAAAGGCTGCCCTAAAAGCCGGTCGCGCTTCGTCCAAACTCACAACCGTCGAGTCGATGCTCGCGGGCGCCCTCGCAGGCAGCGCAACAGTCCTCATGACCAACCCCATCTGGGTCATAAACACACGCATGACGACACGAAAGTCTGAAGCCTCAGAGGACGCTTTGCCTGGCGCGCCTGCACCGCAGAAAGCACCGTCGACACTCGGTACGCTCATTGCGCTTATCCGCGAGGAGGGTCCCGCTCGTCTTTTCGCTGGCGTTATGCCGGCGCTCGTCTTGGTCATCAACCCTATTCTGCAGTACACTGTGTTTGAGCAGCTGAAGCAGATGCTGGAGAAGAGAAGGCGTGTGACGCCCAAGGATGCGTTCTATCTGGGCGCCCTGGGCAAGTTGCTTGCGACGAGTATTACGTATCCGTATATTACGGTTAAGAGCCGCATGCATGTTGCCGGTCGTGATGGCCCGAGGGAGAGCATGTTGACTACGTTCCGCAGGATTATTAAGGAGGAGGGGTACACCGGATTGTATGGAGGTAAGAGACCTGCCAGTCGAAAAGGGAGCGTGGTGCTGACTTCTTACAGGAATCGGACCAAAGGTTACCCAGAGTGTTATCACTGCTGCTTTCCTATTTGCTTTCAAGGATGTACTGTATGCTTATACCGTTCAAGCGCGCAAGAAGCTGGCTATGCGCAAGGCGTAAGTCGTTGGGATACGTGTACAACAATATCGGTAATGGTAAGGCATCTTGCGATTGGATCGGCGGTGAAACTGGATAGGATGGCAAAGTCATTGGGGGCTGGGAGTCAGTATAGATGCATGGCCAACGTGTATGGTATGGAGGACGTGTCAACAGGAATATACCCCAAAACTCAAATGCATACATCGTTTTATAATTTTAGCTCCACTGCACATGTACGCATTCAAGTCAGATCCACACCCAGGTCAATATCAGAAATGTAGGAATATCGGAGAGAACTTTTGATACTAAAATTCCATTATCATTGTTTGATATGGAAGTAGAGCTATCCACTTTTTCCTTTTAAGCTGGTCCAAATGCTTATATCTGTTCCATCAGTGCAAAGCACTACCTCATGATCATCGCTTTTAATCCATCTTGCTGGGCGGAGGCCAAAGAAGGAAGAACTGTAGAGCTGATACAAGTCAGTCAAGCTCTGCTAATCATATCAAGTCATGAGCATACATCTTACTCCGCAAACACCGTAACTTCCCCCTGCACCGTCGAGCTAGTCGTGGAAGACCTAGAAGACGGGCGGATGCAAGAATAACAGTGAGTTGGCGCCGGAACCCAAGAATGCGTCCAGGGCACCTTGGTAGTAGTGATACCTGGCGGCAATACATAACCCTCCGACTTCTTCGACGTAGCCCTAGCCAACTTCGCAACCCACCGCTGGCTCCTACCGCCATAGTCCTCTGTCGACGTCGGCGCATGCTCAACAGGCATACAAGAGTACGCTCCGGTAAGCTTGGCAGTGCAAGCAGGCTCCGCAGCGTCCACTGTAGTGCACCGAGTAGTAGATGCAGGCCACCATACTGCCGTCGAGTTCACGTTGCCACAGTCAACGCTCGTGGTGCAGTGATCGGTGGCGCAGACAGTGTGTGTGGCGATGGGGTAGCCGTAGCCGTTTGAGCCGGTGGATGGGGTAGCCTTTGGGGCAGCCTTCAGGGTGGTCCACGGGGTCGAGGTCTGGCGGAAGGTGTACGAGTTGCGGCGGGTAGGGGGGTCGGCGCAGATCTTGTGGTCGATGCAACTCACAGATGTAAGGAGCGTGGTTGTGCCGACTGCTTGGGTGGAGCAGAGGCCAGCGAGGCCGAGGGCGCACAGAGTGAGGGCGATGAGCTTCATGTTGGAATGACTCGGTTGGAGTTAGTGGTGCAACTATGGCTGCGGCAGGAATTGGGTGATTTACCTTGTGTCGAGATCGTTGGGAAAATAGAGAGAGAGAGAGTGTGTGTGATGCGGTGAGGAAGGACTTGGGGAGTGTGGGAGGTTATTTATAAGTACTCTGTTTGCTGGGACAGTACGTTACGTCACATTCTAGCGTTGTCCAGGATGCACCTGCCTCAGTTCAGAGTGAAGGCTCTGGTAAGAGTGAAAGAGTGGAGACATAGTGACGAAAATGTTGCACATACTTTTTGGAAGGTGAAGGTGTAGAATCCTCATCATGGAAAAGGTTATGTGTATTTGTCTAGAAATAAGAATGGGGATGTTTCGGCATACAAACGCCTACAGTCTAAAATCTACATGGAAGTCCACGAGTGAGATATTCTAGGATTAAACGCAAAGACACCGACCTCTACCTCTACTTACGCCATGTTAACGTCATCCTTTGAACTTAAATCAACATGCCTTGAGTGAAGCTCTCCAATGCAGCCCGATATTGCTGACTGTACTCGATAATTATCTGCTGCTGATACCAACTATGCCTAGCGTTGTGGTCGGCCACCAGGTTGTGAGCAAGTTCGTGACAATATGTGCAGAACCAACTATCCAGCGCCCGCAACTTCCCTTCTTTGGTCTGACACCCATCACTATGCAAAGTGATGAACCAGGCAAGGTTGAAGAAGAGACTGCCGCTCATATTGAAGGCGACCGTGTTGGACTTCTTGTCGAGGAAGACGTTTACGGCAGCAGGGTTGACACTAAAGATTGATGTGAGGCCGAAGATCAGCGGAAGGAAGGTCCGCAAGTGAGATTGCAAGTCAGAAAGCGGTGCAGACTCATCGCGGCCATAGTAGATATCCACGTAACGTCCAGAGAATGGCACAGTGAAGGCTTTAGTCAGATTCTCCCACTGTTCATCGTTACAGTAACCTCCTCGATCCAACTCCGTCGGATCCTGGTGATGCTTTGTGTTGATGTTCGACATGCCAGTCGGCCGACATTCCTTGATAGCATTCTGGATGTTTGATTTTGTGGCTTGAATGTCACGGCTGATCTGAGGGCCATCAGTACCACGGGAAGGTGGAGCTGGCGTGTTCTTGAAACCGAGCTTCTTCGCCCAGTTGTTGATAAGGCCTTGGTCTTCTGGTTGGCGACCGTGATTGGCTATTTCCATGCCAGTATCTGGGCTACCAAATGCGCCAGGTATATGATGACTGGGCTTCTCCGGCGTAGCAGGTGGGACGTTTTCTCTGTTCTCTGTCTTTTCCGACTTCACGAGACCGCTCTTTGCCTTCTCAATCATTCGCTGCTGCTCTTCTTCCTCACGCTCCTGTTCCGCCTGCTTAGCAATACGAGCCTCATGCTCCTTCCTTCGTAGAATACGCTCCACGTTAATACCCTTCTGCTGTAAACGGCGTAAGGGTTCAGTCAATATGCGCTCCAGTGCGATCGCGTCGTTACGCTTTGGTCGCGATACTAGAAGCCTAACGAGTTCACTGGAAACCTCGTAAAGATCATACTTTGGTGTGATGCTTAGCACATAGCCAACACCAGTCACTTTGGTGATGACAGCCGATTTCCTCGAGGAAGTTGCAACATTCCGTTCTGCGAGTGAGTACCGAATAGAGATGTCAGAGACGCATTTGACAGAGAGGTGGGAGCCGAGCCATTTAGCATCATGCTTAATGGCCTTTGATGAGGCGTCGCGCTCGTACTCGTGGAGAAATAGACGCACACGCTCTAAGATATCTCGTCGAAGATCCTGAGCTGGTACCTGGTCGCGTACTGCTGTGCCGATACGCTGGTCTGTCTTGACAAGCTCTGAGACCTTTTGGACGCCGAAACGAGCGTAGAATTCCTCTAAAGCCTCTTCTTGAGGAGCTGCAATGATGAAGTCGCGGAATCTTGTCATGTAGTTGACGTTGTCGATGATGACTATTTCTGCGGCTTTGTTGAGTGACCATTCACGGTGCACATTGTCTTCATCCAAGTCGTCCATCTCATCTTCGACCATGCCCACTTTCTTCGCGTCTTCCTTGATATCGCGATAGCCGAGAAGTAATCTTGACCCTGTCAGTGTCTTGACCAACTCCTTGTCTTTCCACAAGCTTCCTGCGTGCTCAGCGAGCTTCCTTAGCAGATCAAGATATTTGTCCTGGCCTATGGTGTTTAGAAAGCGGGCAGGATTCCTGGCGAGCAAACCTGCCAAATCATGTGTAGTAGGCTCGTGCTTCGCGCCCACTTTCAGAAGGAAGACAGTCGCTTCCGCTCCATAGTGGACATAGTCGAGAATTCCACGGTACTCTTCATCGCGGCCAACGAAAACATGCTCAGGTGGATCATAGTGATGGATACGCATCTCCGTCTTCCCTGTCTGCTGTTTCGACCTGTCCTCGAACCCACTACAAGTCGGATCGACATAGTATTTCCGGAATATCGGTACAATGCTGGAGCCTCCGAGGGTTTGAATAAGCCCTTTGTGCTGATCCATATCAGAACCACGCGAGGCAAGATAGGCAAATTGCATCTCAGCATCCAGCTTAGTCTTGGGTGGATTCTTTATGAGATACTGTACACATGGTGCTATTTTGGGATCCCGCTGGACCCCTAGCTTCTCAGCGTGTCCACGAAGGTCGCTTCTCAGAATCGGGAAGCCTAGGCAAGCTGCGTGCTCATTGGTGTAGCATTGGAAGGGACCGACCAGCGCTGGGAACGGCGCCTGCTCTGTCGGTAGAATCGGAAGCGTGATGGCAGCGAACGTGTTTGCCTCCGCCGCATAATTGTTCTTGTAGTAGTTCCGCAAGAAATATTCAATAGCGCGCGTATACAGTTGAATATCCTTAGCCTGTCCAGCACGGTGCAATATGTGTGCGATCGTGATAGATTCCGGACACTGTTTGAGTCCAAGGCTCAGGAGAAGTACGCCTTCTCGTGTAGTTGTCTTGAACTCAAATGGTAGCTTGATTTGGGTCAATCCCAAAGCAGTAAGCGTAGGATCTGGAGCATAGAGCTCCGAAGCCTTGAATTGTTGACCTGGCTTCACGGTCGCACCCTCCCCGGGTAAGAAAGCCGTCTCACGCAGACGGTCCAAGTCCTTCTTTGGTATCTCATTGATGACGGACGCAAAATACCGGATGAGATCAACATGGTTCCAAGTTGGTTTTTCCGACTGCTGTGTATCGCGACTACGCATCCGATCAAACACCATGGGCAAATCGATAGTTTTGCGTACACCAAGGGACACTAGGAACTTTTCCTTTGAGCCGGCGAAAGGTTTTACAGTCGGCAAATCATCGAAAAGTTTGACTGTAGGGAAGTATGACTCAGCTGGGCGTCGCATACCCATCTTTGTTGGCATAATCGCTTGGGGGGCCAGAATTTTGACGACAGTATCCCGCGAGCTCCCGTCAAGCTGCTCCCAGCATTTAGATGTCAACGTCAACACCGAAAGAGCAAGATTCTCATCCGTGGTAAAATCGTCCAGTTGAGGTTGGGTTGTCATGTGTCGAAGCCAACGAACCATTGACAGCTCCATCCAACCGAACAGCTGCAATTGCTTCATCGACATACTCCTCGTAAAAGTAAAGGGAATCGTATCAGAAGGAAGGGGCAGGTGTGGTCCAATACGAGCCGGGTTCACATATGTGCTGATGTCACCCAGGGCAAGTATCCTGCCAGAATTCTTCTCGGGTACAACTTCAATGTTTGCGACAGTATTCTCGAAGAGACTTCGCGAGCCAGGTATGTCAATTTCGCCGCTTTCCAGCTTGGATCCGCACCACTTGAGGAATTCACAAAGCTCTTCTTCATTAAGCGCGCGGGATTCTAGCCCTTTCCGGATGTCTCCCATGGTGAGTTCTGTGATGAAACCACGATTGTGAAGGTTGAGCATAAAGTCAACAGCTCCATTCGCTAGATCTTGTGGGACCATAGGTACTTCGCCTAGAAAGCTCAGTGTTTCTGCAGGCATACGCACACGCTTGCTAGGCATGACACCCTTCGTTGAGAGAATATCAATAGACCGTTCTTTGGAGCAATTCCAAAATGCCTCGTCAATCTTATCTCCAAGGGCAGTGGATGGATGGGATGATTTTGCGGTGTACTGTTTAAAGACGTAAGCTGTCTTTGTGATTAAGTTTTCTAGAGACTCCCTGCCAAACTGGGCCTGTATATGAGCTAGTTCGGCTGCGTAGGTGATGCGACATGCCAAGCCAGCAACGCGCAGCAGCTCAATGTTCCAAGTAGAAATGTAGCGAGCATTCATGTCTACATTTTCACGCTCCACCGTTGGGATGAGAGATGGCGCAGAGATATGTGCAAGGTATCCCGTAGTTTGCGCCGTTGGGAATCCAATGAAGATACGTCCAGACTTTGTTGGAAGAACTTCGGCAAAGATCTTTGAAGCAAGGTCAGCAGAGCTTCCCGATCCAGTCGCCAAGGTAGCTGAAGGATCCTGATATGGAGAGGTCAGGAGAGCAATCTTGGTTGTCTTTGGTGGAGATTTCTTCGTTGCTCTTTCAATCTCTGCCGCAAAGTTTCTCGAGACTCTGGTAGCTGCCACGACAGTACACACTTGCAGGAATATGGTTCCCTTTGACTCTCCCGCTAGCTCCTCGCTCGGATTAACCTTCTCAGGAACAGGCTTGGGGGCTTTTGTTGGTGCTGGGGGAGGTGGAGCAGCAAAGCGGGAGAAGAAGCTTCGCAAGCTGGTACCGGCGTTACGCACTTCCTGTTGTACGAGATCCGCAGCCTTCTTGGGTGGTAATTGAGCTATTGCAATTACATTCATCCAAGCAGCATCGATCTGGGAGTGCTGTCGCGTGACGTCCGTGACCCGCATCAAGCCGCCCTCGGTTTCGGTCTTCAAGCCTTGTGGTACGCTGACGTTCTCAGGAGGCGAAATCTTCTTTGTGAATGAGGCAACAACGTAATCGTCAACGTGAAGCTCGATGCTTTGAAGGCCAACAAAAGTGAGACTGGTCGCTAGAAATTGACATAGGGTGGGTATGTTTGGGAGCTTTGACGGGTTGTAGGAGGGAGATGCAGCATTCGCTTGTCGGTATTCAAGCATGAAGATGGTGTCTCTTGTAGTGTGCTCGGCAGGCACAGGCGCGATCTTAGTGGAGAGAGTGTTACCCTTCCAGTAGAATGCCATCGTCCTGTCGCCTGATATCACAAAAGGCTCATCGCAATCGGCAAACACGCTGTAGAAGCCTACACCAAAAGCACCAATCTTTGTCTCATCTGGATTACCGTCGGCGATGCTTTTCAGCCGACTCCAGTCAGCGGGTGTGAAAGGCTGACCGTTGTTGCTTACAACAAGCCTCTTGAGAGTGTGGTTTTGGATGACGTGTTTTAGTAGAACAGGGTCATCGGCGCCCTGCGGTGCAGGCACAGTAAGAGAGGGATCCGTCTCGAACTTGATGATGACCTGATCAGCTTTTGCATCTGCTGCATTTTGAATCAACTCTCGGAGTGTCGTATGTTCACTGGAGTAACGTGCCAAGACCTTGTCGATCAAGGCCCGTGTGTTGACCGTGACCTCGCTGTCGAGGCCATCGGCCATCGTTTGGTTGCGCAACCGCGCAAAATCTATCGAAGCCATCTTCTATGTACTTCGGGGAAGGGCTGGTGCTGAGTCTGCAACGCCGGAGTGGCAATACTCTTACTGCAGTCCGGCAGCTGAGCGTGATGCACGAGATGAGGACGAATATGTAGTTTTTACACCTGAACAAGTCGCGGAGAAAGAGGCCAGATGTGAGCAGTCGACGATTCTTGAAGCCGAGACAAGAATGAAATGGAATATAGTTTGCTGATGGAATAGTGAACCGTGGGCGAGTGTGGCGATGCTGCAGGAATGACCCACGATGTGCAGGAACCGTATTCCCGCACAGAACAAACTCCAGAATATGCTGACGCTATGCAAGGGATACAACAACAGATCAAAGAACAGCGCAGCCTGGTGAATGCGAAGGATGGAAGGTTATAGATGAGATGTGGTGTCTTGTGTGGCACTTGATGTTGGAGGCACTTGTGCAGGGACCATCGATACAATCGGCTTAGCGCTGTTCGGGCCACCGCCACGAGGCCGAAGCTTGGAGATCGCCAACCGTCTCAGCGTCCAAATATTCGACACATCATGCGAGTACCCGCCACCACGGCGTTACCTTGATCGACTTTACGTTCCCCGACCAATAGGTCTACGATTTCCAGATGTTGCAATGGCCGCCGACCCTTTGTCCCCGATCGCGCCTGCGCGCATTAGGGCCCTGCTTCTCCCCATGGGCCGAATCAAGCGCTCACGTTTCCTAGCCTTTGTCGACCTCTTACAGCAAGAATCGCTGGTTCGATTGGGTGATATCAGCCCGGACCCACGACCTGATCGGAGTACGAGTCCTCAAGACTTGTCAGCTCTAATGCATGCTGATCATCACCAATAGACATGTTCTCTCCCTTGGCATGGCCGGAGGGTACGCTGATGTATGACTTTTCGACATCCATGCCCCCAGCTTCTCATTTATCTTTGTCGCCATTTGAACAATTCCGAGAGCCATTGCTTATCATCGGGCTGGGCGATGCATCAGAGTATGCATGGCTCGAGCCGTCACGTGCGGCAGATGGTAGCCCCACTGAGGCATTCGAAGAGCCTCCTGCCGAGGATACAGATGCCAACGCAATACTGCTTGGCGTTGATGACCTCAAAGAACAGTTCCCCAGAGCTTATCTTCACAGCCTTATGATGTTTGATTCTGTGTCCCAGTCACGGCATCCCCGCTTACCCCAAGAGACCCTTCTAATCCCCCCCAAATCACAACTGAAGACTACGACCATGAAGACGCTAGTCTGTGATTTTACTGCAACTCTGCTAGCCGAAATGACAACATTGGCAAAGTCCATTCAAGCTCTTCCTACTTTGGTTTCTCCCGCTTCTCAAAATGGGATGGCAGACGCTACCCCAAGCTGGGCCACATCGGACTCCACATCACAATTTCCAAGGCGAAACTCAGTGCTGAGCTCCAGTCGTCCAGGTTCACCTGCGAGTGGCGGACAAAAAGATGATCATCGCATGTCAATGCCCGTGCTCCCATCAAGCCAAGGAGGAGCGTTGTCCACAGAAGACCCGCGAACTGCTTCACCAAACGGCCAAGGCACGCGTACACCACCTACAACTTTTGACGAAATTTCTGGTATCAATGCAGCGAACACTGTGCATTCGACCACCAACAACTCTGCAAGGCCTGGTACGGCAACAAAAAACGCTGCAGCGGACCGGGTTTCCCTTGCCGGATTTGGTTCCGGTGGGGTAGGCGAACGTGCCAGGAATAAGGGCCGTGGTCGTATCAGTATCGTAACGGGTACGCTATACATGTGTGCAGGACAGTGGCTCGAAGCTGTGCGAGAGCTTACAGAGGGCGCGACAAGAGCACGAGCTCTGAGCGACCACTTGTGGCATGCTAAAGCTTTGGAGCACATCATGGTATGCATGCTACTATTTGCATGGTCGGGCATGGAATTCCAGGTCAGTAAATATTATGACTAATTCCCTCCGGACAAGTCCACTGACCTGAGAAGATACCTCAAATCTGCTACCCAGCCTTCGATAAATCCGCAGGTACCAAGTCGCCCACCCACACCCCATCAAATAGTGGTTCAGATGTATCGTCTGCAGCCAAGCTCCCAAAACATGACGATTCTCTCGAGGCCTTGAATGCGTTGCTTCCGGACCTCGTAAGCATGATCCTGAATCTTTACACTCGTGCAGCCAATTTTGCTGGCGAATCTCTACCGCCTCTCGCATTTTCAGAATGTGTGATAAGATTTTCCAAATTACTGGCTGCTATCAACTTGTCTGCAGGCTACCTTGACGACGATGCTCTACGGCACCTCGTGCAAAGTGTACCATACAAACAAAAGTCGCGTTTCTCAGTCGCCCGACTAAGTGTACATCCGACAAGGAACGACATAGCTTCTATGCTCTTTCGCGCGATACCAGGCCCTGTTGAATCATCTGGGATGAATCCTACAGATCGTATCGTTGTACTTGCGGGTGTTGCTTCTGTTCTATCATCTCTAGGTCTACAGCGAAAGAAAGCTGTTGTCCTGAAAGAATTCATTACGTCATTAGTCCCTGGCCTGATCCAGGCCCGGAAGGTTGGTGCAGCGGAAATGGGCGTTCATCCAGCTGCTGGTCTGGCGGCTCTCAACATCGCAAGTGGGGGCTCATCTAGTGCCCTCAACCTAGGCGAAGGCGAGGCCGAGAACGGCATCGATGAATTCTTGGGTCTCTTGGGCCGAATATACGGGATTCCATATTCTAAGAGTACGATGCCTGAGATGGCAGACTCAGCCAAAAGAGACGATGATGCGGAAAGTGCGGCCGATAACCTTGCCAGCCAGCGTGTGGTTGATGCGATCTTGGCGATATCGTCTTTGCGTTCATTTGGAAGTCTCAGCCTTAAACTTGAGATTCTACGAACATGCTTGAGCTTTTGTGAAGCATTGCCAGATTTCAACGGCGTTCTTCATTTCACTGCTCTATTGCTGAGAGTGGCGGGTCCTGGGACAGCGCCAAGACCTAATAGCACCGACGTCTTCGTATCCCTCCAAAGAGACGAGCAGGTGCGACTATACTCGAACATTTCACGAACGGTGACTGCCGCCAGAAAGCTGGGTCTGAAGCATGTGGAAACCGAATATTGGGACGACTTTCTTGTGCGCGGGCTATTCATTTTAGAGGAATCCGAAGGGCTTCGCTTGACCCAACGTCAAGGTATCGAACTGAAATCAACTAAAAAGAGCAAGGAGAGTCCATTCCTTCACAACGCTTGGCCCCAGAAACCTCAGAGAAACATTGCAAACGCTGTTTTAGTGGCTAACGAGGAGTACCGCTTTGTCATTGCTCTGCAGAACCCCTACGACTTTGAACTAGGAGTGGAGTCCTTGAAAATCGCTGCAGAAGGCGTCGAGTTTGTAGCATTGGAGGAGCACTTTTTGCTCGGGCCTTACAGGACCCAAAAATTCCAAATCTCCGGCATAGCGCGTTCATCGGGTGCGTTGAAGATTATCGGCTGCTACGTTAAGCTCATTGGCTGTCGGGAACGGTTATTTCCTATTTTCCCTGAACCATGGAAGCCTAAAAGAGAAGCCAAGATGAAGCATATGGGACTCAACGCATGCATAGGTGCCCCAATCTCACGGCCCTCGTCGGCCATATGCCCCTCGATTGACCGCAGAGCGGTCTCGCAGCCTAAGCCGGAGTCGTTGAAGTTTTCCGTTATTCCCGATCAACCTGTTATTGTCATCACAAATGTATCACTACCGCAGGCAGCGGTCATGGTGCTAGAAGGCGAAAGGAAACAGTTCACCATCACTGTCAGGAATGTGTCGAAGACGTCTGTAGACTTTGTTCATATTTCCTTCCAGGATACCGCGACAGACGCGATTCAGGCCGCCACGTCGAATAAAGACATTCCCGCTGCGGAGTTGCACGAGCTGGAGATCCAGCTTGCCCATCATCCACCCTTACACTGGAATAAGAGCGACGACGAAGAGTCTTTCAACATCAAACCTGGGGCGGAGGCAGACTTTATCGTTGAAGTTATCGGCCGTACTCGGCTGATAGACGCGACGATCCAAATCGATTATGCCAATCTCGGAAAACGAAGATCAGAAGTAAAAGAACATTTCTTCACTCGCCATGTATCTGCTCATATATCTATCACGGTAAATGCAAGCGTGCAACTCCAACGCCCGGATATTGTGCCCTTGTCTGGAGACATTGGCTGGGCTAATGTGATCACTTCCTCGGACATGCCTTCCGCTACTGAGTCGCCACAGCCTCTCTTACCCGGGAAAGCCGATACCCATCTCCAGGCATTTCTACGGCATAAAGAAAGCCAAGGGCATGAGGACGAATACTGCATGCTTCTCCTGGATCTGCGGAATTCGTGGCCAAACCCGTTGTCAATATCGCTACAAGCCCGACGACCCAAACCCGATGGTGATTACAGCGATGACTCCTGGGATGAATCGTACAGTGTCAGCGAAGTGATACAACCCGGACACGTCAGCAGACTAGCAATGGTTCTCCCGAAGATCTACCTAAAGGCCCCGCATGCCACGGTGCCCTTGTTGAATCCTGCGAACCAACGTCAATTCATTGTTAGTACGAGCAAGATCGATCCCAAGGTGGAACGTACCAGTCGAGAAGCGTTCTGGTACCGCCATGAGCTGCTCAACATAGTGCGCGGTACATGGACGGAAGAGGACAATGGACGTCATGGAGAGCTTGAACTGCGCGGTATCCGTTTTACCCCACGTATGGTAGAGGCTATAAAGCTAGACGATCTCGCCATCGAGACAACTCTCATTCCAGACCACCCAAGCCCAGAAGACAAGAATATCGTAAAACAGCTTGGCCGAACCAAGTTTGAGGTCCCTGTGGACGAGTTCTTGACGTTGAAGACTACAGTACGCAATCGGAGTCCACGACCCATTTCATCTGTACTACGCCTGCAACCTCATCTTGCTGGCCTTCAACACAATGTCGCCCTCGATCTCGATAAACGCTTCTCCTGGACTGGTGTACTACAGCGTAAGATGCCGATAATACAGCCAGGAGAAACTGTAGAGTCTGAGCTAGGCGTCGTTGCGCTGTGCAGTGGCACCTATAAGATCGGTGCGACGGTCGACGAAGCGGAGGTACTCAGAAGTGGGAATGAGGAAGAGGGGTCGAGGCCGAGAAGCGATACCCAGACTTTACTGCAGGGTGACGTACTGGGCGAGCCAAAGTTGAGGACTTGGTATATGAAGGAGCCGTGTACGATTGCTGCGAGGAGATGAAGTGATGACGAGATGTTTACTTAGGTATCCGAATATCATGATTTTGTTATTCTTGGTTGAGTCTTCAGTAATTAGAAGGCCAGACATCGATAGAGGCTAGGATGATTCATATGCAGATGAGATTTCCAGGGTTAGGGGTCTTTGAGTATTCCTTGATTGATATATGTGTTTATGCTTACAGATCTGCTGGATACACGGGTTGTAAACTTTAGGTTGTTGGTTGATTCTTGGGGTGAATCGCAGACAAGGCTGTTCCAATCTCTCTACGCAGGAGGTGCAAAGTCTTGCGTGCTCGAAAACTTGATCTGATCTTTACAGTGTAGTAGCTCGTACAGGCCACTGACGTTCTCCATGATACGTGTGGTAGATTCAAGGCTGATGTTTCGATGTTCTAACATCTCTTCTAATATGTGTCTCGTAATGTCCCCCTGTTTCTTGGCCAAGCTAACGGGATGTTAGCTGGGCTGTCCAAAAGCTGTTTGAGTCAGACCTACCCATATGTCATATGAATCTGATGGGATGTGATTCGTGAACGGAGAATCTCTTGCTCTCGGATCTTCTCCAGAACTCTTTCTCGGACTTGATACCAGCGCATCAATTCCGGCGTAGATAGCAGGCTCATCGGTAGTAACAGCAGCGTAATAGACTTCCATGTCATATCCCCACGATCATATCGCTTCTTCAGGGCTAATATAGCTTTTGAGATCCATGACCTCTTGCGACCGTTATTCTCATTGATGATTCGTATCTCCTGCATGGCTTCAGCCCACGCTGTATCGGTGATCCCCACGAGCCCTAGGTCTATTGGAATCTGAGAGGCTCCTGTCGTTTCCATTGAGCAACAACTGGCAATGACGCACTGAGTAGCAATCAGAGATGCGTTGAGTTTCTTCAGCCAAACCATATCGGTATCGTCGCCAGCCTGTATCACCACGTATTCACCGTACCCTCTAAAGCCTTCGAGCGTACTTGTGACTGAAGTGAGAATTCTGTATCTTTCTGCTTCTCCATTGCGCAATGTTGCGTAACGGACATAGATAGCGGCCATAATGGTAGCAATGAACGTAAGGATGCCTGTAATGCTGGCGGTGATCGAAAGGGGACTATCCTCCATTTGGACTTCCGAGAATGCAAGCGCCGCGCTAAACGGGTAGCGCAAAAAGGTGAGAACGCGGGTGTAATCGTCAAGAGACGAACTTTCTTGGAACTGAAAACAATATCAGCGAAGATGGGAGCAATAGTCACTGCAGGGCTATAACGCGAAATAACTCAGCTGAAATGCATCGCTGATGTAAGCGCCGGCTGCATTGTGGGGTCCAAATCGTTCTTCGTATCTCCCGAGGTCTCAGCCTTGCAAGCAGATTATTGGCCTCGCCGAAAGGGATGAAGTCACACAAAGTCCTCTTACATTGAATCCTAGGCTGAACAAGGCAGTTCATAGAAGACCAAGACACTCAGCCTTGAGCCTGCCCTGGGATGGAAACATGAAACACCAGCCGGACACATACGTGAGTTATCTTCATGCGCCGCAATCGATTTCAAGAGTAAGTCAAGCTGTCAGATCACAGATATCAACGATATCTCAGCCACGCGATCGGCCGTACTGATCTCGGTCACGCGAGCAGGCGCACTGATCGCGGCGTCCGAGCAGCGCTCAGACCAGACCTCCTATATCTAGCTCTTCCATAGTTCTCCTTCGCAAATCAATCAATCAGAACCATCACCGAACAGAATGCATTGCTAGTTATCATTATTTCCTTTCAGCATTAGTGCTACAGCCCTACCAACACCATACATGTTTAGCGTCACACAAAACACTATGCGCCTCTATCTCGTTTACCGTAGCTAAATTTTAGCAGTCGAGTAGTTTTGATACTGTAAACTGTAAATACACCAACACAGCCGACATAGGGTTAGGCATTCTCTTTTTAGGAGAGGAATTATGCAATTGATGCACGGTCCTTTTGCTTTTAGAAAGGACCGAAGAACTAGAGAAATCAGCAATATGTAGAGGTGTTCTGGTTATTTTAGAAGAGGAAAGTAGAAAGAAGACATAGCTATTTATCATTAACGCTTGATTTTTAGAATGTAGTAAGTCCTAGTATTTTTAATGTTGCTATATGTCGGAACATGCGCGTACAGCCAGCCCGGCGAGTTTTTCCGGGCCGGAAGCTTGGACCACTAGTTAGACCAAGCTTCCCGCTTAGCTCGCGCGTTTGCTTCTGAAGTTCGGACGCGTCGCGTTTGGGGTACTAGACTCCTTGTATCTCCACAACCACGCGGCTGCACGGCTTGGGAGTAGTCGGAATCTATTTCTTTCGATGGATATAGTTGGTTTCTGATGGAGTTTCACGTGTTCGGAAAAACTCGAAGTTGTAATTACTGTTAAACATCTACTTGTCTAGGTTAACATAGGGTAATATATGTGTATGGGGTAGAAGTTAAAGACATCAAATTCCTAGCTTATGTTCCGCAGGAAAATACGACTCTTTATCCAAAGCGTAGTGATCATTGTTGAACTATACTGATATACTAGTCAGCCACGAGTATATTATTGTCGGGACTGTGAAGGTCGTCCGAAGATGATCTTGGGTTGGTTCTCGGGGATAGAGTGATGCGATGGACACGAGGGTGTATAGCACGATTGGTAGATCGATGTAATATACGGGGAGTTGAGAATCAAGTACTAATCCTTAGATTTCGAAGTTGAACACAATGAGCTATAGGAGCTCATTGCCTAATGCTATATACCTATGGTGCTCGCTGTCCTCGCTCAGAGGAGTCCGAGGATTCCTCGGTGGCTGACGCGCGAGGAGCACTCCTCGGTGGCGTATGTACGAGGGGTGTGCCAAGACTTTTCCTCGTGCATGCCAAGCCGAGGAGGTCACGTGATTAAGTTCCCGTGTCACATATGGAGGGGTCAGCTATCCCGCCGACGCTCCTTAACTTAACCGCCGTGCCCCTTCCCACAGGTTCGTAACACCATCCCCTTCCTTCCTAAGCTTGTCCTCAAGCTTGTCCGTGCGCCTGTGTCTGACGATGTCCGTCCCCAGGTCTAAAGAACATCTTCGCCTTGCCCTTGAGATTCGTCGAAACGGCCTCCTTGCGCCCGTATCCTGCGATTACTGTTTTGCGAATAACCGTCAGTGCGTCGCGATGCCCGAAGTCGATGGCAAGCGTTTGAAGTGTTCGGAGTGTACTCGTCTAGGACATCCATGTGTAAACATGTCGTGGGTGTCCCTAGATAAGACTCGTGAAGAGTATAAAAAGAAGGTGGAGGAGGATGAGCAGTTGTTGGCTCAGGTGATTTCGCGCTTGATGCGAAATAAGAAGATTTTGAAGCAGGCCGAAGAGCGCGCTGCTAAGAAGGCGATATGTTTGGCGAATACCTTGCGCGATGGTGGTGATGACGTGGATGCGCAAGAGTCGATGAATTGCCCCGTGGCGGATGCCTTGGTGGGGTTTTCGCCGATGATGTGGGAAACCCTTGGTTCCCTAGATGCGCTCGCGTCGCCCGCGAATCCTGGCGATGCTCCCGTTTTTTCCTCTAGCTGAGGCTGTCTGGTATGTCTTTTTCTTATATTCTTGAAGTAGTTGTCGGCAGTTTGTGAGGTTGGTGTCTGGTTCCCATGTGTTTTCGCTGTCTGGGTATCCTAACCATTTGACTAGATATTCGGTGCCGTTGTCCACAACTCTGTGTGTGACAATGTTTTCGACTTCAAATTCGTTTTCTTCTTCCGTTTCGTAGTGGAAGGTTTTCTGTAATGGCGTATCTGGGTGTGCTGGTTCTAAGAGGCTTACATGGAATCTGGGATGTATTCTAGCGTCTGGTGGAAGATCGAGTGTGTACGTAACTGGTCCTTTTCGGTTGAGAATCAAAAATGGTCCGACTTTGACGTTGTCGAGTCCTTTGCTTGGTCGCTTCGTGCGAAGATTCTTCGTGCGTAGATAAACTTTATCCCCCTTCTTTAGCTGAGGTGCCATTTTTCGTTTCTTGTTGACATATGAAATGCTTTGACGTTGTGCTGTCTCGAGTTTGCTCTGTAGCAACTCATGTACTGCCTTCAGCTCCTCGGCTGTGGCGATGGCTGCTTCCGTTTTCTGGCTCGGAAGTGTGCGTGTAAAGAGATTTGGGTGTCTCCCGTGGTTTGCATAGAACGGAGTCTGTCCTGTAGACTCTGAAAGCTTGTTATTGTATGCCATTTGTGCCATAGGCAGAAGCGAAACCCAGTTGGTTTGCTGATGATTGACGTATATCCTGAGATATGCTTTCATAGTTCTGTTCGTTCTTTCTGTCTGTCCGTCTGTCTGCGGATGAAACGCTGTTGATAGCTTGCGTTTTGTACCGATCGCGGCCAAAAGTGTCGTCCAAAAGTTTGAAGTGAAGAGCTTGTCTCTGTCGCTTATGATTGACTTTGGTATGCCGTGATGTCTGATGATTCGATCGTTGATGATGTGAGCCAGGTGTACTGCCGTGAAATCGTTTCTAAACGGGATGTACTCTGCTTGTTTTGTGAATCGATCGATTACAACGAGTATTGCGTTGTATCCTATGTTTGTCGCTGGGTCTCTTGAGACTGGTAAACCTGTGACAAAGTCCATAGAGATGTCTGCCCAAGGTTCTGTGGGTAGCTCTAATGCTTGCATCTCGCCGTAAGGTGCGTGTGTGTCGTGTTTGTTCTTCTGACATTCTGCACATTTTGCGATAAATGAGGTAACCTTTTCCTTCATTCCTGGGAACTCGTAGTTGCGTCTGATGAGTTCCATTGTTCTGGTAATGCCCGGGTGGCCGTGTACAGGGTCGTCGTGGTGTTGCTGAATAATTGCTTCCTGCAATTCTTCCGGTACATTGTTTCCGATGTGGAGGATGGCGTTCAGCGTTTTTGCTGGTCCTAGCGATCCGTCTTCGTTAACCCTGAGTATCGCGGTGTCGATGACTTCCTTGGTGCCTGCGATATCTGGTCTACGGCTGAGAGCGTCTGCTCTACCGTTTTCTTTTCCTGGTGTGTACACAATCTTGAACTTGTATTGTCCTAGTAGTTCTGACCATCTTACTTGTCTGCGGTTGAGTACTTTGGTAGTCGTAAAGTTCACTAGATTTTTGTGATCTGTGTATATCGTAAGTTCCGAGCAGCTTTCTGCGTATACTCTCCAGTGTTGTAAGCATGCGACAATAGCTAGTAGCTCCTTGTCGTGAACGTCGTATCGTTCTTCTGGTCCTGAGAATTTGCGAGAGTAGTAGGCGATGGGGTGCCATTTGCCTTCGTGCAATTGACTTGCGCATCCGCCTAGCGCGAGATCCGATGCGTCGGTCTCAAAGCGTAATGGGTGTCCTGCTTGGAATATTCGAAAACATGGTGGTTCTGTGCTTGCTTTCTTAAGCGTTTGGAATGCGTTCTCTGCTTCCTTGCTCCACTTAAAGAGTACGTCCTTTCTTGTGAGTTTTGTCAAAGGGATGGCAATGTTTGAGAAGTCCTTGATGAACTGTCGGTTGAAGTTCAAGAATCCTAAGAAGGACTGTATCTGTACAACTGTTGTCGGTGTTGGCCAATCCTTAATAACCTGAATCTTTTCTTCGCTCATTTGTACTCCGTCCGCTCCTACTACATAGCCTAAGAAGTTGACCTTAGTCTTGTGAAATTCACACTTCTCTGGTTTGAGTCGGAGGTTGAACTGCTCAAGGGCCCTTAGTACCGTCTTGACATGTTCAACATGGTCCTCTAAAGTCTCGGAGTAGACGAGAATGTCGTCTAGATAAGCTATGACAAAGATGTCTAGATGTGCTCTTAACACATTGTTGATGAGTTCCTGGAACGTTGCTGGGGCGTTCGTGAGTCCAAACGGCATAACTGTGTATTCGTAGTGTCCGTATCTTGATCGGAACGCCGTTTTCCACTCTTCACCTTTCGCTATGCGAATTAGGTGGTATCCATCTCGAAGATCTAATGCTGTAAAGATCTCTGCGCGAGATAATCGATCCCGTAATTCTGTAATATTCGGTAGGGGGTATCGATTCTTGATTGTGATGTCGTTGAGCTTGCGATAGTCTACACATAGTCGTAGTTTTCCGTCTTTCTTCGGGACAAACATGATTGGATATCCTGCTGGTGACTT